GTGTTGAGGATGACAAGAATGGATGCAGAATAATCTTTTATGGGATTATAAGAGGTAATAAGCGATGCTGGTAGCTGTTCAGTGGAGACAGCAAAGTGAATGGATACAAGAGTTACTTAAGAGGAAATAATACAATTTCCTAAGAAAAAGAATTCATATGATTAGTGAGATGACAATTACTTTATATCAGAGCACTAAGAGAGGAGCTGAATCTGGACGATAGTAGATACAATTTGGGGCATGTTGGTTTTGAAAAATGTGGACTATTTAGTCAGAAATGTGTAGCAGGAAGTAGACTTTCTTTCCTAATAAAAGTCTCCTCAGGGTGTCTTCCAAAAGAACTGGTTCTGTCCAATACAGAACAATTGGTTCTACTCCATTACCCGACCCCCATTATATACAGTTCTAACCAACGTTCCTGCAGGTTACACCTTCCACATTCCAATCTTTTTATATATATAGTGTACATAGTGGTTCTCCAGGTAAAAATTAAAGGCATAAGAATTTACTGCAAAGCTTGTGAATGCAGTTTCTGGGGTCACACTCTGAAAAACAGTATTAGACATTTTTAAGTCGTCCATACCATGATCAGTCTTAACTGGACTACATATGGAAAAACATGATCTGCATTATGTCAGCCTCTATGTTAAGCTTTGTCACTAAAGTATCACTGTTTTATAGAGGCTAAGTAACTTTCTGGAGCTCTGGTGTGGTGCTGTAGGGTAAGCACTCAACATCAAGGTCGGTTTGAACTTCAAGGTTGGAGGTTCAAACTCATCAGCTGCTCCTCAGAAACCCTTTGCAGGATTACTATGAGTTGGAGCCAGCACAATGGCATTTAACAACAATACCAAAGTAACCTGTGAAAGTATTTTATCTGGCCATTATGAACAATTTTGAACCTAGCTGTTCTAATAAGTGCACACAGAGAAAACATTGATGTCTTAATTATACCCAGAGGTACATCAGCACACAAACATATGCATCCTGAAGAAGTGATGGTTCACATTCCTGGGCAATTTTGTCTTCTTCCCTAGAGATGAAAAGAGAATCCCTAAGGGATCCCCATGTTGTAACTACCCACCTCCTCTACACACTGAGCGATGATTGTAGAAGATAAAGGTAGAAGGGATGAATCGATTAGTCCTTTCCTTTCTCCTCCAATCATTTCTTTGGTTGGTGTGTCTGCCTGCTTATATATTTGCTGTGTGTTTTTCAGGACAATCTGTTTTTTTTTTTCCTTTACCCAGCTATTAAGTGAGTAATACCTGCCTGAAAGAATTTGGTTTTATCTTGGATCCTGGTGGTGCTGTGTGGTAAGTGTTGCACTGCTAACCTCAAGGTCAGTGTTTCAAATCCTTCAGACACTCCCAAAGAGAAACATGAGCTGTCTGCCCTTCTAAAGATTTATAGCTTTTATGGGGACTTTATTTGGAACTGTCTCAATGGCACACAACCACCACCACTAGTTGCTTGAAGGAATTTGGTTTGACTAGGATTTGAAGAAGGTGTCTTGGTGGTACACTAGGGTAAACTTCAGACTGCTAACCTCAAGGCCAGTGGTCAAACCCAAGCCACTCCCAAGGAGGTACATGAGGCTGTCTGCCCATGTAAAGATTTATAGTCTTTGTAGCCCTGTACAGGGACACTGTGAGTTGGAATTGGGCTCAAAAGTAGTAATTGTGAGGTTGGCTCACAGCCAGGTAGTGTTTCTTTCAGTTGTAGATAGTATTGCTGAGTCAGAACTGACTATATGGCATCAAACATCGTGAGTCAGAATCGAATCTATAGATGTGGGGTCTTTTTTTTGTCTTTTTTAAGATTTGGAGAGAAACAGGAAGTGATTGAAGGGTTCTGAACTTCGTCTTTTAGGATCCTTTCCTTCCCTGACAAATTTTTATTTATCAAGTAATGCATAGCCTCTGATATTTGGGTGAATTCTTCATTGAATTATCAGGAAAAGAATGAGTGACAAATGAACAAGTGGGTCATCATGACCAAGACTAGTTTTGTTCAGGTAGTTACTGTGTCAAATAGGGGACAAAGGCCTATAACCCTGCCACAAGGTGAAGGATTATGGGTACATGTGTGAACAGGAGTGCTCTTGGTAAATTTTAGCATCTGTGTATTTTAGTCTGTGCTCTCTTCTTCACAATATAGTCTGACTGACAATAATAATAAAGATGATATAAAATGTAATCTAATAACAAGTCATAGACTTTAGTGTAAAGCCTATTATAAGGCAGGCACTGCAATAAAAATGATTTTTTGGGTGCATCTTACCTTATTGTAATAATAATTGTAAGAAGTAGTGTTATCATGCCTTTTTTACAAATGAGGAATTTAAGGAGCAGATAGTTCATGTATTTTGTTCAAGTTCATGATTAAAGAGCCTACCTGTCTAACTTCAGAACACACATTCTAAACCAATATAATATCCAGGCATACTACGGCATCTTTGTGTATGCCTACCATAGTATGATAAGATCTAATAAAATAACAATAAATCATTATTTGTATCATATGTCAAGTTCATATTTAAATTTTCCCAATTATTCACTCATTATCTTCTATGCCAGATTTGTTTAAACAAGATGCAATCTAATGTGGAGCTGTGAACTAATGCGTCAGACTACAAAGTCATTTGAACTGCAAGGTTGGCAATTCAAGCTAACCAGCTGCTCCTTGGAAACCCTATACAGGGTCAATATGGGTTGGAATTGACTCAATGACACTTAATAACAACAAAAACAACAATCTATATTACATCTGTTGTTGTTGTAAGTGCTGTTGAGTCAGTTACAACTAATCCTGACCAGGGTAGGATCCCCCAGGAATGACTGGAAGGTTAGCATTATAGTGCTTATCCTACAGAGCTACATTTGGTTGTTAGATCTCTAACATTGTACTGCAATCTAGAAAGGTATATTCCTTATCTAATACTCTCCAACCTATTTTTTAATGGCAATGACTTGTTCTAGTGATCAGACTGATTGTCCTGTAGACATATCTCAGATTATAGATTTGTCTGATTGTAGAATGTTAAGTCTGATCCTTTCTTTTTGCATGTAGTCTCATGTGTGTTTATCACTGTTTTAGAATATCTGTTTTGTTTATGTGCAAGGAAATATAAAAATGTGAGAAGACCATTCCCTATGCAGATGTAAGTACAGAACGACCTCAGATAAGCTGAAAACCTGTGGTACATTACAGAATGACCTCAGATAAGCTGAAAACCTGTGGTACACAATATATGGTTTCAGGGTGCTCATCATATATTGCTCAATATGTGAATAGCACAGGAGAGGAGTTTTCAGATGAAGGCTGAATAGCCCCCAAAAGTCCTCTAATGCTGGTAACCAGTGAGTTCCTGGTCCTATCAGGATAATAAGATCACTGAGAGAAAGAGAAAAACATGGAAACACAAATACACAGCAGATATAGAAGGTAGACTGTGGAAATTCAGACTGTATCTGAAATGTACCCCCATGACCTCGAACATGTGAAACATGGGGATACTGAAAAAAAAAGTGTGCATTTACTTATATATAAGGAAAGCTCAGAAACAGAACATCTTTCTTCTTCTGCCATATACACCAAGGAGGGAAAATTGAACCTTTGTCTAAAGGATGAGCTGGACTTAGACTAAAAGAAGGAATATGTGGGAGTGGACAGAGTCCTGGTGTGGCGCTGTGGCTTAATGCACTGGACTGCAATGTGGTTTGAACTGCAAGGTCAATGGTTAAAATTCACCAGCCGCTCCTTGGAAACCCTATACAGGGTTGCTATGGGTTGAAACTGACTTGACGGCACTTAATAACAACATGTGGAAGTGGATAGTGTTGTCCATGATATTTTCTTTTACCATGTTAAGAATCTGAGGTATAGGACCATCACGTGTCTCATTTTAGTGCTCATACTAGCTTAGCTGTCCCTGATTTCACTGTATAGTTATCTGTATGATATTGGTATCTTTCTATGTGAACATAATGGAGATATTACTGGAGAAGAGAGTGAATACAGATCCAAGTATTTAAAGAAGAGATTCCAGTTATTTTGAGAATTTACAAAGCGTATTGTAATGCCTGATCCAGTCATGAAATCTTGTATTTCTATTCTCTTTGTGGTCTCTGCCCTCTGCATGTATAGGTGTGTGTGTGTGCTAGAGAGAATGGCAGAGGACTTTATGTTTGTGTAAGGTGTTACTATCTTATCGAAGATGTGAATATGTTTATAAGGAACAGTGCTTCTTTTAGATGGAAATATTGACTGATAATGTTACTAAATTCAAATTATTACTGTACTATAAGCCTGTAAATTCAAGGATATAAAAATAATTTCTCTAGAGGAATATGGGGATATGAATCGAAGCTGTATAAAACATTTTGTTTCATGTGATACCTAGCATTCTATAGAGAGTCAGCTAGACTTTGTTTTATGGAATCAAGGTTTTGAATGGCAATAGCGATGTGTGTAAATCATAAGTCTATACTTCGTACTAATAGACAAGCTGGAATGAAATGAGTATTTGTGAGATGAAGTTAAAAACATGGGGTAGACATGGGTATTCCACAATGACAAGGCAGATCTTATACAATGGTGACCATAAAGGCATATGTGCTATAATCTACCTATTCCTGTTAAAATATGTCCTGTATTTTGTTCATTTGTTTCTAGGTATAGTATATAATGACAAAGGATGATTGTACCCAGTAAGGAAGACTTCCAAGAGAAGTTGTGAACCAATGGGGTTGGCTACACTATAGACAAGATTCTCTCTAGTTGCAATGACTGATTTTATGGTACAGTCCTGTCTTTTTGCCATGTTTTGCCAGCATTGCAGTCTCAACCCTTTATCATTTTCACAGGTCTCACATTTTCAAAATACGATTACCTTGTTTTGAGGGAAAAATAATAATGAATTAATCAATGTAAGAGTGACTCAGGTAACCCTAACTATCCTTTATGATTCTTTTCCCAGGACCTTGAATTTCTGCCATCCCAGTTTATAATGGTTACTTTAAACCTGAGCAGTTACAACCATGGACCCTTCACTCTAGTGGGCATCCCAGGCCTGGAGAAATTTCATGTGTGGATTGGGATTCCTTTCTGTGTTATTTACATTGTGGCTGTCATGGGAAACTGCATCCTTCTCTACCTCATTGCAGTGGAGCGTAGCCTGCATGAACCCATGTTTTTCTTTCTCTCCATGCTGGCCATGACTGACCTCATCTTGTCCACAACTTGTATACCCAAAACACTCAGTATCTTTTGGCTTGGGGCTCATGAAATTACCTTTCCTGGATGTCTTACACAAGTGTTCTTCCTTCACTGCAGCTTTGTCCTAGACTCAGCCATCTTGATGGCTATGGCATTTGATCGCTATGTGGCCATCTGCTCCCCTTTGAGATACACTACCATCTTGACCCCGAAAACCATCATCAAGATTGTTGTGGGCATCTCTTCTCGAAGCTTCTGTATCATCTTTCCAGTTGTATTCTTGCTGAAACGCCTACCTTTCTGCAGGACACACATTATTCCCCACTCATACTGTGAGCATATAGGGGTTGCTCGACTTGCCTGTGCTGATATCTCCATCAACATCTGGTATGGCTTCTGTGTTCCCATTATGACGGTCATCTCAGATGTACTTCTGATTGCCATTTCCTACACCCTCATCCTTTGTGCTGTTTTTCGTCTCTCCTCTCGAGAAGCCCGCCAGAAGGCCCTTGGCACCTGTGGTTCTCATGTCTGTGTCATCCTCATGTTTTATACACCTGCTTTCTTCTCCATCCTTGCCCATCGCTTTGGACACAATGTCTCCCTCACTTTCCACATTATGTTTGCCAACCTCTACATTGTCATCCCACCTGCACTCAACCCCATTATTTATGGAGTAAAGACTAAGCAGATCCGAGATAAGGTCATACTCCTCTTTTCTACTAAGGACACAGAATGATGGTCACTGGACAATGGAAATGATAGCATAAGTTCACAGCATATATAAATATAGCAAGAATAAAGAAACAAATGACATTTACAACATAAACTTATTATAGGTGTTTTTGAATATCAGGAAAGGATCTAGCTACCAAGTGAAAGACTGGAAATTCTAATCCACCTAGAGGTCTGAGAGGAAACCCCAAGTGCTTTATTAGAAACAGAACAAAACAAAGGCGTCATTGGAAATCTGGTGTAGCACAGTTCATTCATGACATACATGGAATTGCCATGAATTGGCATCAACTCAGTGATAACTAGCTTATTGGTTATATAAAAGAAATGGTTTGCTCTATAAAAATTTCCTTAGTGACATTTTTGCTTGTGGAACATGGTGGCATTTTTGCTTGTGGAACATGGCATACTGACTCAATGGCACTTAGCAACAACAACATAATTCACTCTGAAGGTACCACTCCTACCAAATGCTTTCATCACAAACCTATTTTAAACAGGTTCTTTTGACAGTATAGTGGAAATGGTGGAAGTAGGGTATTGATATATGCTGTGGCTTTTAAAAGGAGCTTTGATTGAACAATGGTTAAGCACTTAGCTGCTACCCAAAAGGTTAGCAGTTCCAATCCAGCAGCGGCTCTGATGGAGAAAAGACCTAACAATTTTCTCTAGTAAAGATTTGTTGTTATTGTTTTTAAGTGCTATCGAGTTGATTCTGACTCACAGTGGCCATATGTGGGGTTTCTGAGGACTAGCTGGTTAGTTTGAATCATTGGCCTTGTGGTTCCAATGGACCTTGAGGTCAAGTGCTTATCCTAGTAGGATACCAGCATAGGCTATCCTATGGGTAAGATTTAATTTGTCTTTTAGGGTCACTAATGAGTTAGTTAATGAAGGAGCTCTGGTAGCGTAGTGGTTACGAATCGGGCTGTGAACCACAAGGTCAGCAGTTCAAAACTACAAGCTATTCCGTAGGAGAAAGATGAGGCGTTCTGCTTCCATAAAGATTTACAGCCTTGGAAACCCTGTACAGGGTTGCTATGAGTCAGAACTGACTCCACGGCACATACCAACAACAGTGAGTTAGAGTTGTCAGCACATAAAGACAAAAATAGATTTAAAATAAAAGAATGGAGTAAACTGAGTAGTTTCCAATCTGTCTGGACAGGGCTGGTGAAAGGAGATGGGGATAAGACTCTTGTGGTTCAATAGTGAATAATTACTATTAGGAGTGATTGTGAGTGTTGCAAATTTAATGGTAGATGTTTTGTAACAAAAGGAGGGGAGTGGTTGATCTTACAGTCCTGGGACCATCAAGGGAGAAGAACGAAGTGTGGGACACTATCTAGAGAAGCAGTGACACCAGAGATGGAGGCAGAGATGATGTGGAGAGATGGAGTGGCTGGGGACTCTCAACTGAGGGAGGAAGAGAGGCTATATGCTGATGGCCAGGGGGCAGGCTTGCAGGGTATACACCCTTTGGTTGTTTGAATGATTATATATTCCCGAATGCTTTGGTGTACAGCCCAAAAAAGAAAACAAACCTGAAGGGATTGTAATCATTGCGATGAAATGAAATACGATAGGATGAATGTAAATCTGACGTTCGCCCATGTAAACTATCACTCAATTCACAATAAAAACTTAAAAAAAAAAAAAAGAATGGGGTGAAACACATTAAGCTAATGGCAATAAAAATGAACAGGAGTGGCATTATTAACTTCTGATAAAATAGATACTAAAGCACTAACCAGCCTAACAGACAAAGAAGGACATGATCTCATGACTAAAGAGTCAACTGAATAAGAGAAATTAGCCATAAGAAATATTATGAAAGAACCTCAAAATATATATGAAGTCTAATAGAATTGAAGAAATAGACAATATAAAATAGACTATAAAATCTCCTTTATAATAACAGTAGATTTTAACACAACACTTTTGATGAAAGAACAACTAAAAAGAAAATCAACGGAAATACAGAAGAACTAAACAACACAATCAAACACTTATACAGAGCACACAACTCAACAATAATACAATACACATTTTTTCCAGTGCACATGGAATATTGTCCAGAATAGACCATATGTTAGCTCACAAAGTAAGCCTCAATAATTTAAAAGCATCAACATACTACAAAGCATCTTTTCAGATCACAATGCTGTAACATTAGAAATCAGCAATAGGAAGATCAAGGAAACAAAATAAAATGCATGGGAATTGAATAACACTGGGCTGAAAATCTGCTGGGTAATAGTACAAATAAAAAAACAATACAATTCCTTGACTCAAGCAAAAATAAAAATACAACATGCTAAAACCTTTAAGAAATAGTATAAACAATACTTAGAAGGGGATTTTTAGCAATACATACACACATACAAAAAAGAAGAACCAAAATCAAAACATTAACACAACATCTCCCACAACTAGAAAAAGATCAATAAAGTAAGTCAAGAGTCACCAGAAGAAAGAAATAATAAATATTAGAGCAGAAAGAAATGAATTAGAAAATAGAAAGGATCAAAAAGAAAAAGAAAAAAAAAAGATTCTTTGAGAGGATTAATAAAATTTACAAACCATTGGCAAATCTACAAAAGAAAAGAAGAAGATGCAAATAACACCCTTAAGAAATTATATGGGTGGCATCACACCTGAACCAATAGAAATAAAAAGGATGATAACTGAATAAAGAATTGCACTCCAATAAATGTGAAAATCTAGAAGAAATAAATTCATTTTTAGAAAAACATGGCCTACCTAAATTAACACAAAGTGAAGTAGAAAACTTGGACAGACATACAAATAGACTAACTTCCTCCCAAAAGACCAAGTTCAGACAGCTTTACTGGTGAATGCTATTAAACATTCAGAGAAGAGCTGTTATCAGTTTTACTCAAAGTATTCGAGAACATAGAACAGTATGGAAAACTCCTGAATGCATTTTATGAAGCAAACATAAACCAAAACCAGGCAAAGATATGAGTAAAAAAGAAAATTACAAACCAATATCCCTCAAGTACATAGAAGCAAAAATCCTCAATAAAAGACTAGCCAAAAGAATTCAACAACATATCAAAAAAGAACACATCATAACAAAGTGGGAGTCATTCTAACGATGCATAGATGGTTCAGTATTAGAAAAACAATCATAATCCACCATATAAATAAAAACAAAGAGAAAGAAACACATAATCATATTGATTGGTGCAGAAAAGGCATTCGACAAAATCCAACATCAATTCCTGATAAAATACTCAACAAAATAGGAATTGAAAGGAAATTCCTTAACATAATTAAGTGCCTATATACAAATCAACAGGCAACATTACTCTCAATGGAGAGAAACTGAAAGCATTTCCTATGTGAACATCAATCAGACAAGAATGTCCTTTATCACCATTCCTATTCAACATTGTGAACCGACTCGACGGCACTTAACAACAACAACAACATTCAACATTGTGTTGGCAGTCTTAGAGCTATAAGGCAAGAAAGGGACATTAAAGGCATCCATGTTGGCAAAGAAGAAATAAAATTCTTTCTATTTACAGATGATATATATAGAAAATCTCAGACCCAGCAAGAAAATTATTGGAACTCATTGAAAGATTCAGGAAAGTGGCAGGGTACAAAATCAGTGTACAAAAATCAGTTGGATTCCTAAACACTAATAAAGACATCTCTGAAAAGGAAATTAGGAAAGCAATACTGTTACCAATTGCCACCCTAAAAATCAAATGCTTAGGAATAAATCTCACCAGAGAAACAAAAGACCTATATAAAGAAAACTACAAAGCACTACTACAAGAAATCAAGAGATGTGCAAAAATGGAAGACTATACCATGCTCATGGATAGGAAGACATAACATTATAAAAATGTCAATACTACCCAAAGCAGTCTATAGATACAATGCGATTCCAATCCAGGTTTCAACATTATTATTTAACGAGATGGAAAAAATGATCACTACTTGTGTTGTGCCATAGGATAAGCACTCAACCTCAAGGTTGGTGTGAACCACAAGGTTAGTGGTTCAAACTCACCAATAACTTCTCAGAAACCTTATACAGAGTATCTATGAGTTGAAACTGATTCAATAACACTTAACAACAATAACAACTTTATATGGAGAGGAAAGAGAGCCCGGATAAGCAAAGCACTGCTTAAGAAGAAGAAGAATGTTGGGGCCTCTCACTCTCTGATCTTTTATACACAGTGGTCAAAATAGCCTAGTATTGATACAATGAAAGATGCATACATCAGTGGAACAGAATTGAGAACCCAAAAGTAAATCCATCCACGTACAGCCAACTGGGAGTCCTAGTGTGGTGCTGTGGGTTAATGTGCCAGACTGTGAAGTTGGTTTGAACTGCAAGGTTGGCTTATAGAGATCATCAGTTTTACAGTCAAATTGTACACTTTGATTCATCTCACTGATTGAGATTCCCTCTTCCCACATATTCCATTTCCTCTCAGTGTTTCTAGTTTCCATTCCTATTTCTTTACAAACCTTTCAGAATTTTGTCCTTAGGTATAAGTGCTGCCCTTTTATGTTGAATGACTGATAATTCTGTGGTGTGAGTACCTCACTACTGTTGCTGTCTCAACTATATTCCTATCTATTGCTTGGCTGAAAATGGAATGAGGTAGGCTCCAGACCTGAAGCTGGCCAAGGGCCAGAATCTCAGCATTCCTTTACTCTCTATTTGACCAGGTAGCCTGATCTTTTCTCTAATTTTGTTCTACATTTTCTACTACTCTAGATCCTGCTAATGTGATCCATTTCAGAGCATTTGATAGATGTAGCTGGACACCATCTAGTTCTTCTGGTCTCAGGATCATCATGGAGACTTACATTCATGTGACCATTAGTCCATTCCATAATTATTTCTAAGCATCTTCGATTTTCATCATTTTTCTTTCCTCCCAATAGGGAGAAACAAACAGTTGTGTCTTAGATGACCAATTATCTGCCACCTAGTGCTCCACCACATTC